GTCGAGGCGTGCTCAACTATCTTTGACAAAAACGTCTTCCGCTCACTGAATCGCGATATTGCCCAGCTGAATGACGTAAGTTTTATTTTTATAGTTTGTTACGGTATTTTGTTTTACAAAAATTTTGTTTAATAAAATTTACGTGCTATTTTTCCGTCAGTTCTGGCGATGGCTTGGTGTCAGTTCAATTTTAAACTACTATGAATGGTTCAGAAAGTAGAAATAAACAAAATTAGGTGTGAACATTGTCAGTAACTTCATAGATAGGTTGGAGGAGTTACGTAGTGATCCTACTTGTTCTTTTGTTTCGTTGTAAAGGGATTACAATCATACGATCAGCAACTCACTGTAAACTGCATGGGTATCATGAGGCAGATCATTAGGGACTTCGGAGAGATGAGCATTTCGACTGTAAAACCTTTCTTATTTTACTTCACACAGAAAATCATAAATTGCTCGGACAGCTTTTCATGACTTAGTACAGCAAAGTAAATTTACTTGTATACGATATTAAGTGTACAGTATGAATATTTTGACTGTTGATCGTTTTCATGCAAAGAGAAGTAGAAAAAGAGGATGATTCAGAAAGTTTGCCATATTAAACATTCAATATATATTTTGCAATTAATTACTCGAAAGAATCTAACGTAGATGTATAATGGATGCGCCGCTGAAATTGAAGTGATTAACGGATAAATTTGTTTAGGACATAAGTTCATACTCGATTTCTCACTGGAAACGAGAGCAGCTGCGAACTCGACTGAAGATTATAAAAAAACAGCTGGATGCCGCAGACAAGCAGTCAAAGCAAAAGGTTGCTCAGCAAGTACGAATAATCATTCGTTTATTTGTTGTCTTTCAGCTGAAGTTCAACCATTATATGGCTATTGAAATTTCTGTGCATCCAACTTTTGGTTATATAGTATATTATATTGATTATTCATTTTTTATTTATTCATTCATTCATTCATTTCAATAGGTTGAGCATAGCCAAAATGGTTTATTAACACAAATTAACATTAAAAGTTCTGGGCGATAGACCACTACCTACGTTTCAGTCGTTTTCTAAAGTCATTTATATTATGTGTGACCGGGGCTGCTCAGTCGTTAGAGCGCCAGACTCAGAACCAAGAAGTCCTGGATTCGAGCTTCGGTGCGGATGACTGGTCTACCATTTTTTCTGATGTTGGTAAACGAATGCCACTCAGTCGAAGGTAACAGGAGACTACACAATATGTTTGCGACGTAATTGGAGATCCAGAAAATAATTGGTGGCTCCAAACCTTTGTGGCACACTATGCATTGACTCTATAATTGACAGGATAGGTTGTAGGCTTTCCCGGTTTCGGAAACGCCATAACCACCGCTTTTCGTTAGACGTGTGTGAATTTGTCCGTTTTCGTGCCACGGATCCTAGGCACTCCGAGGGGACCCCGTTTTATCAGATATTTTTGAACGTCATTACAGCTAATGTGATATCATGGCTTGTTTCATGAATTTGATTCGACTCATGCAAATAAAGACATGGATTCAGACAGTCGGCGTTTGACGTCTGGTCCAGAGTTATCTTTGATTTGGCCAAGACTAAAGGGGCCATCGAACTTGTACTGACCTGGGTAGTTATGTATTTTGTCAGATTTGCTGTTGTTACGTGAGTGCCAGGCTTCATGCCTGAAGTGCGCAGTCCGATACATTTTCAGGCTTCTCCTCTCATCGCTGTTTTTATATTTTCAAGCGATTTTAGGGGTCAGCAACTGTCTGAGTTTTAACTAGCTGTATTCTCAAACTGTTTTCGCTGCATTTCGTCCAGCAAGGCGTGTATCGATTGCATAGACTTCAAGCATTATGCCTCATTGCAAGAAATTTCATCAGTGCTGCTAAGCGGTTGAAGTTTACTGCTATTATTTTACCGTTGACGTTAAATACTTAACGCAATTCTGATGTGCAGGATATGAATGAAAGTTGCTTATCATTATTAACGAACCTCGGTCTTAATTTCTGTGAAGCTTTGAAAGCTGTGGTCACGTGGTGCTTTACTTTTGCAAGTCAGCGTGTAAAATTTAGGTTTTGCTTGAAGCAAAAGAATTATCGGAAACGGCCAAAGATAAACCTTTTCTTGTTCATTTTTTCAATATCAACACCCCCGCTAAAGTAAGCTTTAGATTAGTGGTATAACGTCTGTAGCACTGCGTATTATGAATTTTTTAGGTACTCGATAATGCAGTGCGGCAGTTCAAGAATAAAGCAACCGTGCTGCTGAGCATTGATCCGGAGAGCAACAAGCTGATGTGCGTAGCCAGTGTTTCAAAGGTATGAAGCAAATGTGAAGATTTAAGCTCGTTTATTCATGTACATTGTTTGAGCTAGAAATACTTGGTAATATTAATCTGTAACGTCATGGTCTGCAGACTGTAACTAAATAACAGACCTTATACGAGCTACTTCCTGAATATCCTGATATATAGTTAATATGGGACAAGACATAGACTGTTAATACCCTTTAGACTAATATATGCTGGTAAAATGTTATTTATGAGAATAAGGTGTATGTTTTGACCACAAATTGTAATTGTACAATCGGTGAAACGATACAACTACAGCTGGCAGGCGACCGATATTTTACGCCTTTATTTTACACCCACTGTTTCTCTTTGCATCAGTGTCACCGTCAAGTAAAATTTTAGTCAAAAGAATTATCAGAGACTGAGGATAGAGGAATCACTTTTTACTGAGGTATGTGAATATCTTAAGAGAGACAACGGCGACGAACTATTTTCCATTCAGAGAACGATGGCAGCAAGACCACCTAACACTTATGATCGAACAAATGCTTTTTAAACTCCGTGTAAAAGTATGAAACGGCAGAATTGAAATCCAAAGAATTTTTTATACCTATGTGCATAGACGA